TCTCTCTCGCTCTCTCTCTCTCTCTCTCTCTCTCTCTCTCTCTCTCTCTCTCTCTCTCTCTCTCTTCGGAAAACTATTGAATACATCTGAAACCCATGGTCACTATTCGGAACCAACAAATATATTTTATACCTACTATGTGCTGGGTGATTCTGCATGTATTTCTATTTCAATTATGATAAACTTAGGGTATTATTTTTACTACATTTGACAAATGAGGAAAGGCGTGCAAAGAGGTGAAGTGACTTGTCTAAGGTCACACATTTACAGAAGTTTGTATACTGAGTTTGGAGCTGTGACTGGGACTTAATTTCTAAATGCCCCCTTTGCCAAGTCTCTCTTTAATACTTGAATTCAAACAATGCCAGAGGCAGTGATGGGCTTCATAGTGCAATCTTCAGGACTCCCCGTTCCCCCACCCCTAAACCCTTCCCAGGGAGCCTCAGAGAGCAGGTGAGGGGTGCTGATTTGGGTCATCACACAAAGTGGGGGCATCATTAAGAGCATGATGCACATGCTGTTATGCAGACATACTTCCCACCCGTAGCTCCTTAGAATTAGTTCTTAGAAAGAGTTGTCTGCAAAGGTGGCACCTCTCTAGGCTCACTATTCACTGCAATCTAGAGGAGTACTTCTTCCCAGACCCTTAAGTAGCTGTCTAACCTAAGAAATTAGAAAATCTGAATTTTAGAATTTGGAAAGAAGTGTAGCTTGGTTTTATTCTATTCTAAATGCTAGTAGCAGTCAACTTTAGAAACCATCTCTACTCCTTTCCTTGATCTCTCAATCCAAATTTTCTCTTTTCCTCAGTTCAAAGGCACCAAAACCAAAACAAACAAACAAACGAACAAACAAAAAACTCCATAGCAAAAATAGTTACTAGAGCACATGTTAAAAGGAAGGGGGCCTGGAAGGGCAGTCCTATGTCTCCCTGTGATATTGAACTTCACCAAGTACTCATAGACCAGTGGTTTTCAAACTTGAGGTTTCAGACTTGCCCAGGGAGGTTTAACAGGCAGGACAGGACCCCTCACCTTCCCCATTACCCGCATCTGCTCCCTAGTGTCTGACTCAGGATGTCTAGAGTGATCTCCTGGAAACTGCTTATGAAACAATCACTCCAACACTTTGAAAAATTCTTCCTAGATTCATATATGAGTCCTTGAGAAAAAAAAACATGCAAATAGAAAATGAAGAACTAGTGTCTAAAGAGAATTTCTGTGAGAACTGGGCAATGGCTCATTGCGGTCCATGCTAGAATGTGGCAGGAAGCAGTGGCGTTCAGAAGGGAAGTGTTCTACTTCAGTAAGGCAGCTTCGGGACATCATGGGGCTGGCCCATGGTGAATCCACTGCCATCAATGGGCAGCAACAACAGCAAGTGCAAGGAGCTGCTTTAACAGCAGGCTAGTTATGGCGTAGGTTTCCAGGAGTCTTGTTGGAGGAGAAGGAGAATGATGACCCTCATGTGAGACTAAGGACTTGTTTGACATGGACTGGAGTCTTCCAGAAGGAGTTTGGAGAAGATTTGAGAGGAGAGGGGTTTGAAGATCTTCACTAAGGCCTACCAAACTTGCTCTAATGTTGAGAAATGCTGAACCAAAATCTCTTACAATGAGGACTGGCTCTATATAATTTTTAAATTGAACACTGACTGTGAGTTGAGTTCTATGCTTGGTGTCGCCCCTTAAGAGCCTGGTATTTCTCCCTTATTCCCTACCCCCTGCTCTTCCCAGTTTCCCATATTCCTCACCCTCAACTTTCCATTCAACTAATCCTACCCATAGATACTACCAGTAGCTTCGAGTGCTACTTCGAGTATTAATGGAAGGTTCTTAGGAGTACCAAATGTGTCCAGAAATGCCCCAAGGGGAATTCTTATTCAGTTAACTTGGAAAACAGTGTTATTGCTCTAATGGTGATGTCATCTTTATCTTAGAGGATTGTTAGGAAGATCCAAAATGATTTAAATCCATAAAACCAACTCTAAGTGGTGATACAAATGTCGGAGATGATCAGAGCAAAGCTTCAAGTTCTACTTCTACTGTCCAGTTGCATAAATCCAAGAATACTCTTCTGAAAGTGGGACCCCATAATGACACATTTAGCCCCTCCCCAACTCCTTAGTGCCCGTGACAGATACAGTCAGTACCAGGTAGGTTGCCAGGCATAGACTCGTGCGGCCATAGGCATCCTGGGTGTTAATATTGGCCCCCATCTTCAACAGCAGCTTCACTGTGTCCACTTGACGTCCAGAAACCGCATGCATCAAGGGTGTGCACCCTGAAATGAGACATTTCAACAGTCTTTAAAAAATGTTTGATTTGTGAAATTTATGAAGAGACTTTATTTGCCTGTTCATTTATTATGCTCTTTGCCAGTAAATGAACTGCCCTCCACACAAACCCAGCTGTTGCTGTATGGGACTGAAGAGAAATGAAGGTGATTGTCGTTACATTTACATAAACTATGTATATTTCTGGCCCTATTTGATTTTCTGTAATTTTGCAGTAATTCGTTGATTAAAACATATTGTGTAGATTATAAACGTTGCTTATTACGACCTTGGGAATAAGCATAATTTGGGAAGTAACAGGCTGGTTTATTCTGACTTGGCTTAAACAATGCAGAATCTGGAGGTGCCTTTGGAAAGCAACTCCAGCCAGGCAGACAGGTCCTGTACACTTTTATTGAAGGTGGTGTGTGATAAAGGGCAGTGATGGTAGCCTAGCCTTGGGTTGCACAGATTCTTGCTAAAAGGGGCCACTTTTACTGAAATACTTCTCTGTATTTGGAATTAATATAGGTCAAGACATTTAGTTTTTCATGTGTTTTATTCCTGAATAAAAATTGATAAATGTATACATTTTATCTCTAAAAAGTACAGCCAGCAATTCAGTTCTTTCCAAATCTTTCTAATACTTTCAGGCATCTGCACTGGGTCAAAGCAGCAGTGAACCGCTGTCTTAAATAGTGGCACTGTTCCTGCCTCTTTACTTCTCCTTACCCTCCTCCACCTACCCCCTCCTTCTTTCTTTCTCTCTTTTTGTCCAAATTGCTCAAGTACCATTTGTTGAAGAGGCTTTCTTCCACTGAATTACATTTGCACCTTTGTCAAAGATCAGTAGAGTATATTTGTGAGTCTTTCTGAGTTCTTTTCTTTTCTATTGATCTATATGTCTATCCCTCAGCAATACCAGAGATTTCTGTAGCTATATAATAAATCTTGAAATTAGGTAGACTGATCCTCTACTTCATTCTTCTTTTTCAGAATTGTTTATTCTAGTTCCTTTGCCTTTCTATATACATTTCAGATAACCTTGTCTATATCTATACAAAAAGTCTTGCTGGGGTTTGATAGAAATTGCATTAAACTTGTATATGAATTGGGGGAGGTTTTCATATTTACTATATTGAGTCTTCTAATCCTTGAACATAATATGTCTATTTATTGAGATCTTTTCTGATTTTTTTCATCAGCATTTTATAGTTTTCAGTATACAAGTCCTACAAATATTTTGTTAAATTCACACCCAAGTATTTTTTATTGAGTGATTTTAAATGGTATTGTGGTTTTAATGTTAGCATCCATGTGTTCATTTCTAGCATATATAAATATAATTTGTTTTTGGGTATTGACCTTATATCCTGTGACCTTGCCAAACTCACTCAGTTGGAATTTCCTGGTAGGTTCTTTAGAATTTTCTATTTAGACAATCGAGCCATGCAAAAAGGAACAGTTTTATTTTTTCCTTTTTGATATGTATGCTTTTTATTTCTGTTTCTTGCCTTTATGCACTGGCTAGAACTTCCAGCACTATGCTGAATACGAGTAAGAGTGAACATCTTTGCTTTGCTTCTGATCTTAGAAGCAAAGCATTAAGTCTTTCACCATTAAGTAAAATGTTCTGAGAGTTTTGGTAGATACGCTTTACAAATTGAGGAAGTTCCTCTCTATTCCTATTTTTCTAAGAGTTTTTAGTAAATGTGTGTTCAATTTTGTCAAATCCTCTTTCTGCATCAATTGATATGATCATGTGATTTTTTTCTTTAGCCAGTTAATATAATAGTTTACATTGACTGATTTTCAAATATTTGAACCAGACTTATATATCCTTAGAAAAAACCAGACATGGTCATGGTGTATAATTCTTTTTATACATATTACTGAATTCTATTTGCTAATATTTTGCCAAGGATGTCTGTATCTATATTCATGAAGAGTATTGGTCTGTAGGTTTATTTTTTATATTATCTAGTTTTGATATCAGGATAATATTAGCTTCATAAACATAACTCAGAAAAGTTTCCTCCTCTTATCTTTTCTGGAAGAAATTATATATGATTGATATTAATTATAATTTAAAAGTTTGTAGAAGTCTTTAATGAAACCATCTAGGCCTGATGATTTCTTTCTCTGAAAATTTTGAAACGAGGAATTTAATTTTGTTAATCATATAGGGCTATTCAAATTACCTATTTCCTATTGAATGAATTGTGGTAGTTTATCTTTTTTGAGGAATTAATCCATTTCATCTAAATAGTCAAATTTACGTGTGTAGAGTTGCTTGTTGTATTTCCTTATTATGCTTTAGGTGTCTGCAGTGTCTGTAGTGATCTTTGGTTTCATTTATAATAGTGGTAATTTTGTTTTCTTTTGTTTTCTCCTTCTCAGTACTATTGCTAGAAGTTTGTCAATTTTATTGATCTTTTTAAATAATCAGTTCCTTGTTTTATTGATTTTTCTATTGTTTTTCTGTTTTCAATTTCATTGGTTTCTACCTTTTATTATCTCTTTTCTTTTGTTTGCTTTGGGTTTATTTTGCTCTTCATTTTCTAGATACTTGAAGTGAGAACTTATATTACTGACTGATACTTTTCTTTTTTTCCAGTGAATGTATTTTGTGCTATAAATTTTCCTCTTAGCATTGCTTTGGCCATGCCCCACAAATTTTGATATGTTATATCTTCTTTTCCATTCATAGTCAGTTAGTACAAGTCAGGATCGAACTCAGTCAGTCTGGCTCTTGCCCTTATCACACAAGGGTGTTTAACCTCTGACTCTCCTCATTTCCACTTCTAGCCTCAAAGCAGATGTACAAGTAAGTCTGCTTTGAAAACAAACAAGCTAACAAACACTACCATGCATACATTAGGAAACAACCACTGTATTTTACAAAAACACTTTGAAGTCATGATAAGGGAATGCAAAGCTTCTCTTGGGAGAGGTTAACTGGATAAAAATCATTAATGACTTCCCAGAAATACTGAGATGGATAAGCCAACGACACATCTTTTGATATAGTCCTATAAGTTCCTAGGCTGTTTGTTTGTTTGTTTGTTTGCTTGTTTGTTTGTTTTTTAAGCCTATTTTCTTTCAGTTGTTCAGATTGGCTAATTTCTGCTGCTGAGATCATCCATTGAGTTTTAAATTGTGATTATTGTATTTTTCAGTTCCAAAAATTTCCAGTTGGTTATTTCATATTTGTTATTTCTTTGCTGAGGCTTTCTAATTTTTCATTTTTCAAGCATGTTTGTAATTCCTTATTGAAGCATTTTTTTCATGGCTACTTGAAAATCTTTGTCAGATAATTCTAACATCTGTCATCTCAGCTCAGTATTGACATATATTGATTGTCTTTTTTTGTTCATTTGAGATCTTCCTTAGTACATGACAAGTGGCTTTCTACTGAAATTTGGACATTTGGGATATTATGTCATGAGTTGCCTAATCTTACTTAAACCCTCTATTTTATTTGGCTTCCTCTGACACTAATTCAAAGGGGGAAGTGGAGGGGGTGCCACCTTATTATTGCCAGGTGGGATTAGAAGGCCAGGTTCCCTACTTAGCCTTCATTGACATCTGAGGGAGAAGACTCTTCATTACTGCTGAGTGATGGGGAAAGTCCTAATTTTCGAGATGGTCTCTTCGACAGCAGCACAACAGATAGAGGGATGGGAACCTCATTATCACCAGGTGGAGGTGGAAGTCCAGGATCTCCACTTGGGTCTTTACTGGAATGGGTGGGGCTGGGGCCATAGGATTTTGTGTGTGTCTGGTGTTTGGCTGTAGTAGAGTCATTGTTGTCTAGAAGTTTTGTCTTGTCAGGCTGTTCCTTTCCTGGTTCTTTGGCTAGAGAAAGGAGTCTTCTGTTGGGGTTTTCTTGGTCTGTGCCTGCTGCATTTCTGGATTGCTGGCTTCTTTAGTTCCAAGTGTAGGATATAAGAGGTGAATGGAAACCCAAGAAACTCACCACCATATCATTCCTCGAGTGCTAACGTTCTAGCCAGTCTGTCATTTTATCCTCACCTTCCAGAGTATTCTTGCATTTATTTTATATCTGATGTCTGGAGTTTTTAGTTATATTTAGTAGAAAGAGAGAAGAAAAAGTACATCTACTCCATTTTCCCAGAGGCAGAAGTCCTTCTTCTCTGCCTTCAACAGTCACATTGTGTACTGCTTTTCTTGGCCTAAATACTTCAGTCATTCATACAAAGACATTGGAAATAAACTCAAACTAACTGGCTTCATTTAAGAGATGATGTACAATAATTTGAAACTTTGTGTCCAAAAGCCTCATTTGAAGGAATATCGAGGGACATGCACACAGCCTTGGCTATTCCTGTCTCTCTATTATCAAAATGGCCTGTTAGATATAATTTTATTAATATTGCTCACTTCTGAAGGCCCTCTCTAAAAGCATAGAGCAGAACATTCTGCATGATTCAGAATGTGTAGATTGCTTACCTTCACTGTCACAGCATTCTAGGATGGAGGGGTCTTCCCGAATCACTGCAGTCAAAGCATTGACATCTCCATTAGATGCTGCCTGATAAACCATGGTCAGGTCAACTTCCTCAGATGAATCACCTTCATGAACCATACAGAGACACACTTAGTGTGTGGAGCAAATTCACTGAAAGAATAATACCCAAAGCATCACCCACACAAGTGATTCTTAAAAACCTCTCTGGTGAATCCAGGCAGAAGGCTGAGTCACCTTGATCACATGCACCCTCACCACTTCTGAAGAAAGGTGGACCAATGTGGGCTATGTTGTAACACCAACACATATTTGGGAGGAGCCTGAAGGATTAGATGTCCCTTGAGATTTTATAATTCCCTCCAGGTGTCAGGCTACTCAAAATCAGTGAGATCAGATAGGGAAGTGGGGCCCTCATCTTCATTTCAGGCTTCTCTTTCTTATCTGAAATGTGTTACTTTTCTTTTCAATGATTCAGTTTACCCACCTTTGAAAGAGACATTGTACACCTTATTCTTTTTCCTCTAGATGTATTCTCTACCCTTTTCTTGCCTTGCTCTGTACCCTGAAAGCCAATCTTTGCTGATTGCATCACCCAGGCCCTCTCCTGTTCTGGCTTGCCCATGGAGGCACTGGCAGGAGACTGATGAGGAGAAGAGAGAGAGATTGGACATTTCTTCCTGCCTTCCCTTAGCGCGGTGTCTAATAGGAGCTGCTTTCCTCCCATCAGGAGGTTCCTCCTCTCCAGAACCAGCTCTCCTTGGATTCTCTTTGGGAATAAACATTGCTTTCAGCTCTACATCATCTCTGTATGTAGTCCCCTCACAAAAGCTCCTCCATTTGAACCTTCTGGGGTTTATGATATGGTGTTTTCAGAAGGAACAGAGCTATATGCAATTCTTTTGAATTTGATGTCCACCTGTATTATATCTTTGTGCACAATTGAACCAACAGGACTGCCAAAGATGACAAGAGAACTGTGGGTCAAGTGACCCTAGGGGAGCACTGAAAGGCCTGCGAGGCAAGTTCTGCTCACAGAGAGACCCCTAGTGAGATGATGTGCAGAGCCCCTCTACTTATACGATTTCTGCCATGCATTACCACTGCTCAGGGAAAAACATGTACGTAAGAAAAATTTTTTAAATTGGATTTTTCTACTAATGTGGACATTATGCCAAAGATACTTCAGAGTTCTAATTGGTCTTTAATTGGCTGTGGACCTAACACTTGGGCTTGGTTTCTTTGTCCCAGTATTTCTGGAACATCACTAATGATTTTTTAACCAGTTCATTCTTCCCAGGAGGAGCTAGTTATTGAAAATGATTCATTTATTTCAACAAAAGTCAGTGGTTGCTTCCTAATTTATCCACAGTAGTTTTGTTGCTGTTGCTGCTGCTGCTGCTGCTGCTGCTGCTAAAGCTGACTCACGTATATATTTGCCTGGGGGCTGGAAGTGGGGGGTGAGGGGTGTCAAGGTCAAATGCCTCCTCTGTGACAAGTACACGGACTTTGGAGCCACACTACTTGGGTTCAAATCCTGGTTTTTATTAACCAGCTGTGTGAATTTGGTCCAATTACCTCTCTGAGCCTTAGTTTCCTTGTCTTCTTTTCTTGATGATGATTATGACAACTACCTATCTCATAAAGTTGTTGTGAAGAATAATATTTAACCATCTGAGCTTTTAGAACAGGGCATGGCATGTAGTAAATCTTGTGTATACTTTGCTATTGTTACTGTTAGTTTTTTTTTTCTTGTGAGTTTAGAGATCATTAGAAATCGGTGACATGTAGAAAAAAAGGTCTTTCTTTGATGATAGCTAAATAAAAAATCTATACATCGCATAATGCATTAACTGTCTGTTAGAAACCCTCCCATGAGTCTAGACAATTTGTTAAAATTGCTCATGATAACTTTAGGCACAAGCAATAGGGCCCAGATTTGAGGACAAAGATGGGCCTGGTATCTGGTTGTATGACCACATCCAAAGAAGCTGGTGGTGCTGGAGTGATCTTGAAAAGAAGATCCTGATGGTGAGCTGAGGAGCTCTGTGTTTATAGTTTGTTTATTTATATTTTACATTATGTGTTTACATAATGTATAAAAACATGTTTACAATGTGTTCATTACTGACTACAATAAAATCTGTAAGACACATTCTTCACACTGTTGAGCACACACAACTCAGAGAAACAAGGACAGCATGGCCTGATAGAATTAGGAGCCCAAAATAACTTGCCAGAAGGATTCTAATAAGATTGTATTTACTAGAGATAAACACAGGGTAATGTATCTTAGTTCATAATGTACCAATTGAACTAATTGAAGAAGGGTTGGACCTATTGTTTTTGTTGCTCAGCATTCACTCACCCTATTGGTGACTTTAACCTGATTTTTCCCCAGGGACTAACCTCTCTACATTTTCAATACATGGACTGATTTAGTAGAGTTGATGACATCTCTGCTCAGGAGCAGATGTGGTCTAGAACTAAGCCATTTGGCACAAGTATTATCCTGGCCACAGAGAGTGGTTCAGGGTATGCCTCAGCAATAGCTCATGAAAGGCAGTGATATTTTGTGATTTCTGGGAATAATATTTTCATTTTGTTTCACTATCCAGGAAACCGAGAGCTATAGGGAGTATATTATGGGTGGAGAGCCTAAAAATAAAGACAATACAAGAGCAGAGGTGGGCTATGAGAAGGAAATAATTAAGACCTGGTGATAGAATTTCAACTCCTGAATCAAGCCACAACTTATGCCAGCACCATCTCTGGAACATTTACATTTGCCAATAAATTCCTTCTTTGTTTAAGTCAGTTTGCATAGATTTTATGTGTTTTTGTTTTAATAACTAAAAGAGTTCTAACCAATAAAAGATTTTAGTGGTGACACATTAGAAAAGAACATAAGGTTCTAACTGGACAGTTAGTGCTATAAGGATAAACTGTGACAATAAAAAAGTAAGCTACATTAATAGTAATCTAGTAACCAGATTGGGGGAAGTAACAGGACTTTTCCATTCTTAACTGGTTGAGGTCTATGGCCCATAGACTAAATGGGTTTTAAGTGGCTGGAGAACATTCAGTGGTGAGTGACCGGAATGGAGTATGAATGGACTTCGTGTCACATGATAAGCAGTGGACGGAAACAGATGTGTTTATTCTGGAGAGTATTCTGTGGGGTCGTGATAATATAACCTTCAGATATCTGAAGAGCTTTTTTTTTTTTTTTTTTTTAAATTTTTAGTATAATTGTAGTAAATATACATAACATAAAATTTGCCATTATAACTTTTTAATATACAGGTTAGTGGCATAATGTACATTTATATTGTTGTGCCACCATTAATACCATGTCCATCTCCAGAAGTCTTTTCTTCTTCCAAAACTCAAACTCTGTATCCATTAGTCAAAAACTCCCCTTTCTTCCTTCCCCTTCGACCCCTGAGAACCAACATTTCACTTTCTGTCTCTGTGAATTTGATGACTCTAGGTACTTCAAATTAGCAGAATGAACAGTATTTGTGCTTTGGTAACTGGCTTATTTCACTTAGCATAATGTCTTCGATGGCATCCACATTGTAGCATGTGCCAGAATTTCCTTCTTTTTAAAGGTTGAATAATACCTCATTGTTTGTAGGTATCATATTTTGTTTATCTATTCATCCATTGATAAGACACTTGGGTTCTTTCCACTTTTTGGCTATTATGAACAATGCTGCCACCAACGTGAGTATACAAATATCTCTTCCAGACTCTGCTTTCAATTCTTCTGGGTATATACTTAGAAGTGAAATTATTGGATCATATGATAATTCTATTTTTATTTTTTTAAGAAACTGCTATACTGTTTTCTATAGAGGCTGTGCCATTTTATATTCCCACCAACAGTTCACAACACTTTACCAATTTCTCATGTCTTCACCAACACTTGTTATTTCTTGTTTTTGTTTCTTGTGTTTGTTTATTTTAATAATAGTTAGATTAATAGCTATGAAGCGATATTTTATGGTTTTAATTTGTATTTCCTTATAATTAGTGATATTGGGCATCTTTTCATGTGCTATTTGGCCATTTGTACATCTTCTTTGGAGAAATATCTAAGTCCTTTGCCCATTTTTTGATTTGATAGTTTGTTTTTGTTGTTGTTTTTAAGTTGTAAGAATTCTTTATATATTCTGAATATTATTAATCTCTTATCAGATATATGATTTACACATATTTTCTCCCATTCTGTTGGTTGCCTTGTCACTTTGTTGATAGTGTCTTTTGATGTACAAGGCTTTAACTTTGATGTAGTTCAATTTGTCTATTTTTTCTTTTGTCGTTTATGCTTTTGTCATCATATCCAAGAAATCATTGCCAAACTGAATGTCATAAAGCTTTCTCCCAATGTTTTCTTCTAAAAGTTTTATACTTTTAGGTCTTATGTTTAGATTTTTGATCCATCTTGAGTTATTTTTTGTATATGGTGTTAAGACAAGGGTCTGACTTCACTGTTTTGCATGTGGCTGTCCAGTTGTTTCAGAACTATTTGATGAGAGACAGTTCTTCCCCACTGAATGGTCTTGAAAATCAGTTGACCAGAGATGCATGTGATTATTTCTAGACTCTCACTTCTGTTTCACAGATCCTTATGGGTCACCTCAAGAGGCTGAGCTTGCTGTCATTGAAGATGATCAATCTTGGCTAGATGGCCACCAATGAAATATACTGCAGAAGCAATTCTGACACAGAGTGAAGCACAGGGTAGGGGGAAAGGAAAATGTGTGAGGCAAAACAATGTACTTCAGAGTTCCTTCTAGCCCTGAGATATCATACAAAACCACAAAGCCATATAGAAATAGGAAATGAAGGGGCTTCCGGAGAGGTTTTGTAGAAACAGTTAATTTAAATTGCAGTCAGTGCAAATAACTAGGTCAAAACTTTAGATAGTGCAAAGAATTTGTGTAGAAATAAGTAAGGGTGTTATGCAGAAATAACAGGTACAAGGAGAAGAATGACTTATGATCCTTAATGGAATCTAAAACAAATACAAGAAAGATTTTCTACCTACGGTCACAAAACCATTTAAGACATGCAGGAGATCTACATCAACAAATAATATGTAAATCTTCCTTCTCTCCTTATCTATTGTTTGTCTGTCTGTCTGTCTATCTATCTATCTATCTATCTATCTATCTATCTATCTATCTAATCTATCATCTATCATCTATCTACCTATTTACCTCCCTCATCTATCTGTCTATGTCTGACTAGTATCATCTATTATCTATTTGTATTACCTTTCTTTCCATGTAGCTTAGAGAAGGAGCATGGTTTGAATGGCTTTGGCTTCTCTAACTGTGTGAAAGTTAAACAGATAGACTTGTGTATAGGTACATAAAAAGAAATTCCAGAGTTCACACAGAAGAAGAGAAACTAAAAGTAGAGAAAGTGGAAAAGAGACATAAAGATTAGGAAGAAAAAAGCATGTCAACAGATGTAGATTATATTTTATTAAACAAAAATGTGATATGTACGTATATGTGTGAAATATGTAAAGATTAGAAGACCATGCATCGAAAAAGTTAATAGAGATAATCTCTTGGATATCCTTCAGAACTTTCTTATATTTTCTAAATTCTCTATAATGAATTTATATTTTTTATAATCATTGAAATAAACCAAGGTTTTTCTTAAATATCGAAAAAAGGTGTGTCTACTATCTTCCCATTAATGCGCTGCTACTGGCAGACAGAACCTAGTGTGTCTGTAACAGAAAACAGGTCCTTGATATTTGACAAAGAAAAAAATGTATGTATTTTTCTAATTTTGACTTTTATAAATATCTTAGTAGATTTTGTTAATCCATGTCACCCCAATATTAAAAAAAATAATTAAAAAACAAACTGCTACGATTTAAAATTTTTATTAATTTTTACCTGAAAATTGGAAGGATAGATGTTATCTTCCTCATTTTTTGTTGTTAAAATCTTAACAGGTTTCAAGATGTATCATAAATTATCTAACTTATCCTCAGGGCCTAGCTTTTTAACATTAGGATTTCAGATATATGACAAGTTGCTAGAAATGTTTTTGACTACATGATCTTCTTCAAAGATTCTCAGAATTTGCACAAATGTGGGCCCCTTTCCTAGAGCTTCACACAGTGGCTCTGCCTTGAGTTATTGGGGAGTTCCTCGGGGAAGCCCTTGAGTGCACCAGTTATTGGGCTCTCTTCATTGACATTACCCAGAGGTCAGCTTGACATTTGTTCTCCTTAAGTTGTGACTGTTTTGTGTAAGAGCCAGACTACTGTAAGGACAGATTTAGTTTTGTAATTTCAAGAGACCAGGCCAGGATGGTCTTGAGAGGCTTCCTTTGTTTCATTCTATTCTGAGGATCCTTGGGTGGCTGAACCCACAGTAGAGTCACTAGTAGAGTCTGGATTCATTTTTGGTCAACTACAGAGAAGTCTGCAGATTTTTCTTAGAGTGTTCCTTGGAGTGGAGTCGATTACTTCTGAAGAACTGCAGTGTAATCATTCATCCATTTACTCAACCTTTATAATAGATGAATGAAACTGCAGGTTCAAAGGTTGTAGAGTCTCTGTCCCTAAGAGAGACACGTCCTAGTGGGAAGACAAGTGTATAACTTATGATTGCGATATACCAGGGATATTACTGCAGGACAGAGGGAGAATCACTTGAATGAATAGTTTCCTGGGCATTCTTCTAATTAGATCCATCTCTTCACTGGCAGGATTATCCTGAGTGCTTTGGGGACGGTAGAAAAATGCATTTTGAGGGCTGCCTGGAATGACCTATCTGTAAGTTGGTGAGGCCTTTCCACTTTCAGGGAGGATGCCAGGACTGCACTCAGATGGCTCCATGTGACAATATTGCCACCCACTGGTAATAAAGAATCTCTGTGTGGACCCTGGACCAGTATGGTGCTGGGTAGAATTAAAAGCCAGTCTGGAACACTCTGGCCATGCAGAAAGAAGTTTAAGGTCATTGATACAGTTGGCTGGCATTAAAACAAAATTACTTTCATGTGACTCGTCATACATATCACACATGGAGACAATATAGAAAAATGGAAATAGCATAGACCCAACCTCCAGAGTTTAAATCCTGATACTGTCACTTACTTGCTTTTGTGTGACCTTGGGCAAGTTGCTTAACTTCTCTATTACCATTTGTCAAATGCGATAAGAACAGTATTTACCTCTAGGGCTATTCTGAGAGCTAAATGAGTTAATCCACATAAAGTGCTTAGAGCAATGCTTGACATATTAAATATTCAAACTGTGTCAATTATTGTTATCAAGATTACTTCTCTGCCATAGATAGGAACCTCTGTCTTCTTTCTCCTTAATGAGATTCTTTGCCTTGCTTAGCAGGCTGCGGAGATTTTGTGAGCTAAAACATTTTGCTATTTCTCCTCTAGTCCTATAGGATGTATTGACTGAGGCTTTAACAGTATTTCATAAAGTGCCAGTCACATAGGATAAGGAAAAAAAGTTTCTTTCTAACATTTTAAAGAAAAAAATAGCTCCCAGCTTTCTGCATGTATCAGCTGAAAAAACAAATACTCAAAGCAATCTTCATGCCGTGGGAGTAGAAAAGAAAGGATTTCACTCTGTGGGGAGGAAGTCTTGCAACATTATTTATTATCTCAAAAGTAAATATCTGGCCAGAATCAGATCTTTCTTCATATCCAGATTTATGATGCAACACATGTTGCATTTCTTTGAATCTCAGCATTGCTGTGTTCCTCAGGGTGATTCTTCTGACCAGTGGACGCCATTCCCCAGTTAGCATTTCTACTGGATAGAGTGGGTGGGGGGCAGGGGGAGCTGGGAAATGGAATTTGCTGTTTCAAGAAGCATGTCTATGTTGAACTTCAGTAATGATGCCTCTCTAGATGCCTTCCATAGAACGCACTTTTATTTTAATAATATTAATCTTAAAAAGTAAGATCTCAATCTTTAATGCATAGGGCCTTTTGTATGTGTGAAATAAACAGATCGATTAATTGATTCAGTTTGCATGTTCAGTGGGTTTTCTCACTCATTCGAGTCTTGTGGAAATCTCCTTGATGTTAATATATTGTGTCAAGAAGTTCTTGGTAATTAGGAAGGTATAAATCTTGAATAAATTATATGAAAGATTGTGCGAGCCTGGTTGGTCTTTGGAAATTGAAAAGTAAGTCAAGTGCTGTTATTTCGATCACCTTTCCTCTGATCTCCCTTACTTTCTTTTGGATCAAATGTATGACTCTTCCTACCTCTTTTTCTTTCCAGAAATGGCGAGTGTTTACCCCAGGTATTTGCCATTTTAACTGAGGCATCCTGAAGGTAAGGAATAGGTGTAGAAACAGGATTTGTTTAGTTTGAAGAAGAGGAGACTCAGTTGGACATGACAGCTGTTTTTAAATACTGAAGAAGTTGGAAGATAGTTTAGACTTGTTTTCCTTACAGCCTGAGGGCAGAACCAGTTCTGGTAGATAGAAATTGGAATAAGAAAAACTTTTGAATGGCTAGAGCTGTTCAGAACTAGAAGGAACTACCTTGTGAGCTAAAGTGCTCCTCATCACTACTTATTTCAGCAAGTTGTGACCAAACGTATCTCAGGATACTCTTGAAGAGATAACCTGCACTGAGTAGAAGGTTGACCTTTAAGGTTCCTTTCGTGCTTGATGTTCTATGTGTCTTTCTCACGTATGTAAGAACCAAATAATGAATTACCTATCATTGATGAACAATGACTCCTGGGCTGGGAGCGATTTGGAAAAGGGGGTCTTCCTTGGGTCCCTTAAATGGCATCCTCCTGGTGGCCTTCTACTCTGGCCACTTGTAAAACTGCCCCTAGTGCCTTGATCTCCTGAAAATAGTTTTAGAAAACGAATGTAATTTGGGTAGCTGGTCCAAGTGTCAGATTAAACAAGTACATCTCTCCGTAGTCCCTTAGCTTTGCATCATTCCTGAAGCCGGTGCAGCCACACTCTGTCAGCTGGCCTTCCATAGACTTTCTCATTGTCTTGACTCTGTCAATAATTCATTCCCAAATTGGACAAGATCTCTTCTTTCTTCATATTTTCCTTAAAATTGCACTGACCCTGTAAAGTATCCACACGTGCTTCCTATCCACAGTCACGGATTGACAGTAGCTCCTGGATGGCTGTCTCCTGGGTTCCTAAAGATGCTTGAAGGCGATTAAAATAGAATCATTTCTCACAACACTGGAGTTGTTACTGGTACCTGCCTTGATTTTACTGTTGCTTTATAAAGGCAGAGAATAAAACCCAACCTGGTGAATTATCACCCTTCATGTGACTGCGCTAGAACTTTGGAAGTATGGCTTTGCTTTTATTATAGAAAAGATCCTTTAGATAGTAGAAGCTTGAGTAGTATTGGATATGTGATAGATACTTGATAAGTGTGTATTTGCTGATTTAATTACCATGTTTTTTTCTAAATGGCAAATTGAAGAGGGGTAGATATACAAAATGAAAGTTCAGTTCTCATAATCCTTGGGAAGAGAGTTAGAAAAAGTGATGGAAAGAGTCTTCTGCTGCTTTGAACAATTTTATAAGGCATATCACTAGCATTTTAAGTAGAGTTGAAGTAAGTGAACAGCTTCCTTCAAGTCTCATATATTATGGATATATGGTTTAAGTAAGGCTGATTTAAATCATATCATCAGAGCTGTGAGCATGTAATGTTGTGAGGTCTAAAGGAGTGACAACAGAAGTAACTTCTCAGTAACTAATAAATTTGACTTAAATCTGAATTTCATAAAGAACTCTCTTTTGGAAAAGTGAACATGTTAGCCACGTGCGTTACTGTGAACCACTCTGGGTTCAGCTGGCTATTTTGTAAAATGAGAGATTGGCTCTATCCCTGGATCTCAACACTGGTTGTACATTAGAATCACCTTGGGAGCTTAAAAAAACTGACACGCCAAGTGGTATCCCCAAATATTTTCATTTAATTGATCTGTTATCTTGTATGTTATTTTATATACCCTTTTGGATTATAAAAATTATGAGAATACAGATAAGAAGAAAATATATACTCGAAGATAATTAACATTAAGAAGCTGGTGTGCTGTATGTACTTGACTTACGTGGGCTTGCTTCCCATCCACCTCTGTCTTCCACCTACCTGCGGAACATAATGCAGGCATGGGGAGAAGCGCTGGCAGGAGTGGAAGCCTGGAAGCTTGAAAAGTCTGAGTTGCTTCAGAGTGTGTAGTCATGGGCCTCTGCCCTTCCCATCTTCCTCCTCAAAAGCTGAACTGTCTCCTGCCCCCATCCTACAGCCAGAATGGACATGGCTGAAAATGCGTGGTAACCTAACTCATAGGTCATATTAAAGAGAAGGCCCATTCCCAAGGAACAAACAAAGAATTTAAAAGGTCTAAACAGCCTGGAGGCCAGGAGGCAAAGAACAGGAGGGAGAAAAATCTGGAAGGTGCCATAGCCTGAGGTGGGTAGTACCCCAGGGATTAGGTTAGTGGCTAATGCCCCTGGCTACAGTTTATGAGCAGTGGCTGCTGCTGGGGCAGGACCAAGCTAGTGATGCAAATCCCAGATCTCCCATACTTTGATCTTTCTATTGATTAGAATACAATGATAAAATCTGAAGAAAATGGTTAAGATTTTCTGAGATCCAAGTGAGGTTGGCTAATGCCAAGGTCAATTTGTTGCTCATTTATCAAGTGGATCTTTGTCCCCTGCTGCCTACCCTGAATTCTCCTCTCACAGTCTCATCAAGGGTGATATTAACAGTATCTAACAACTGGCTTGTCAGAGCCCCAATCAGAACGGAGCAGGCCTAACAGCTGAAGTGGGGTCAATAATTTTTAGCCGCTGGATTGTGGGTAGTATATGTATATGCCTCTGAGCAACTCTTACTGATATGAAGGTCTGGAGATATTTTAACATGTAATAGCCAATGACTAACTGTTCTGAGCATTGTGCTGGAGTTATATGTAATTCATTCTTTCTAAAAATAAGATCGCGTTGTGTATATAATTTTGATTTTTGCTCTTTTTCATTTATTATTGACCATAAATGTTTTCCTATGTCATAAAATAAGATTTAAAAATACTATTTATAAAAATATGGCATTAAATCCACTGATTTTAGCACAACTAATTGAATCAATTGTCATATTATTGGACATTTAAATTCTTCCTCTTTTTTGAGAATTATAAATTTTGTTGCTATTCTAAGTAATACTATAACATTCTTGCATATATGTCCTTTGATGTATCTTTCAGTATTTTCTTTGGATACATTCCTAGAAGTGAACTTGGAGTCAATGGATTTGACTGTCAAATTGCCCTCCAGAGAGGCTGAAGTAACACACTCTCTCCAAGCAGTGCTTGAAAGCCCAAATTTCACCCCATCCTTAATGACGCTGTGCATTATCGTTTTTTTTTTTTAAAAATTAATATTGATGTGAAAGGAGAATAGTATACTGTTTCTAATGACCATTTATTTTATTGTTCCAAAGAAATAACTTTCTTCATATGTTTACCGCCATTTATTAGTTTTTTATTGGTGTCTTTATATCTCATTATGTCAAGGCATTTGTCTTTATCTAATTGATTTGAAAGAGCTTTATATACAGAAAGTACACTAACTCTTTATCTGTTATCTATGCCATAGTTACTTTTTCCTGTTTGCCATTTAAGTTTGTTTTAATTGGTTTTTGAAAAATACATTTTCAGTGTTTCCGTAGTCAAAATCTATGGATATTGCATTTAAAAAATGTATTTCATCGTTTTTATAGTTAGAAAGGTCATCTCTGTGGAAATTTATTTATTTGTTAACATTTAACTGTAATTAATATAGAATTTTTAAACTTATGACACAATTTTATTTGAAATAGTCAATCATTGGATTTTGTCCCTTTCCTTGCAAAGCTGTAATGACAGCCTCAGCATATACTAAATCATTGTTAATGCTTTGGAGGTGGCTCTTTCTACTGTGCATTCACAAAAGCTGTGGTGTGGGCAGCAGGGACCCCATGACTATCTATAATGCTGCACACATGAACTTGGGGATGTGGCCAAAGTGTGCCTCAGTCACATTCCACAGAATCTTGTGGTTAGTCCACAGTCAACGTTCTTAGTTAGCTTTTTTTGTGTTTCCTGCACAGTTTTGAAGTCTAGAATTTTTAGTAGCACATTAGAAGTAAGTAAAAAGCTCAGAACAACCCGAAAGTTAGCAAAAATTGCCACACAATCACTTCAACACAATAATGTCTCCCCGAGGCTATGGAAGCATTATTGCATTGTTCGCTGGGGTCTGTTTAGCACTGCTTCACTGTCTGAATAACAGTCACATGATGGTCAACGCTTACATTGTGCTTACTAAGCATCAGGCACGGTGCTAAGCCCTTTTTCTAAATCAGCTCATTTAATGCTCACTTTGTGAGGTAGGTACTACAATTATTCTCATTTTATGCATAGGGCATAAAAGCGACTTACCCAAAGACAGTCAGTAAGTAGTGAAACTCAGAAAGGCCTGTGGCCTGTCTGTCAGGCCTCCGATTCCACCCTCTGATGCATGTGCGCTGCTGTCTACAACTACCTGTTCACTCAGGGGTGAAGCTTTTGAACTCATGACCCTTGCTGGGTGCTGGGCAGACATTCCACATTCCATTCTCTCACCCTCACACCCATACCCCACTCTCCACTCTGTTGCCCAAGTGTCTCCTCAGCTTTCTGCCTGACATACATTATTGTGCTAGAGTTTATAATCATTTGTAGCAAAAATAAACTTTGCATATTAATCCAAAATTTAAAATCCATCTGTGAAGAGTTGGTTATACACTAGGGAGAATTAAAGTTAATGGTAATAGCAAAAGATTCTGAAGTGAGATAGAGTGAATTCTTTAAAATGACCTTTAAAAAGCATTAAAAAAGAGTGAAATTTTTCTAATTTATTTTCTAAGGCTAGCATAAGCTGTGAAGACACACACAGAGGGACCTATAGAAAAGTTCAACTTGTGAACACAAAAGTCTAAATTTTAAATTAAAATTTGATCAGATTATAAAGACGTTTTGATTCTAGGATATCTATTAATAAAATATATCACACCAATAGAGCAAAGGGGAAATACGTGATTACATGAGTAAAGAATAACAAGATGTTAGATAAAATTTGATATCTGTTGCTAAAAATATGCTTGACATGTAGGAATAAATATTATATTTTTAATATAATTAAGTACATTTAGTTCAAATCAACTGCAAATATCACAGCTAATAGTGAAGCAACAGAGAAAGAAATAAACTGTATCTAATGAAATAAGATGAAGCACAAAGAAATGAAATAATCATAAAGGAAGAGCAAAATTATTATAATTTGATAATAGTTAACTTGTACAGATGACTCATGTTCCATGCACTGACTGGTTCATTTGAATTAGGCTGTTTGTTTGTTTTTCAACAATTTTATAGAGTAAGTGGTACCTTATCTACTTACAGATAAGGAAATTGAAGTACAGAGAGATTTACTCATTTTCCCAGTGTTGCACAGCTATTAAGTAGCAGAGCGGGATTTGAAACCAGTCCATCTGACCAGGATAACATAGGAGAATTAACCAAAGAATAATTAGGATTAGGAAGATCTAATTAAGTTATTAGTCAGTTTAAAATATAAAACTAGACAGTTCTTATTTAATAATGTAAGGAGGAAAATAACTCCTCCTTACACTGAAAACAGTTCATTACAGTGAAAATATAAAATACTCAAGAATAAATATTCAGAATCATAATGAGGAAAGCTACAGAACTTTACTGAAGGATATAATTAACGATTTGAATTTGTAAAGATACATGCCCAGTTCTCAGATAGGACAACCAAATAAATAGTATAACCAATTTCAATTATTACACAGATTCGTTTGTAAATTTAATGTCATTTCAATAAAAGTTCCAACAGTTCTTTGGGAGTAGGGCTCAGGAAAACACTTTCAATTGTTAAAAGAATAGATAACTTTATGCTTTAAAGAAGAAAAAAGAATATATATACATATACATATTTGCTTATCTATACTTGGAACTGACCTCTGTGGAAAGAAGCATGAGAAACTACTTATGGTCTTTCGCCTACAGGGAAGGGGGAATTGGATGGCTGCAGGGGTTGGAGGGGAGAGGGGGAGATTTTTTATTGTACATTGTTTTATACCTTGAAAGTGTTTGAATGTATTATCGTTCCAAAATCAAAAAAAAAAAAAACAAACAAAAAGAGGGGAAAAAAAATGAGTAAGAATATCTGATAACGTTTTTAAAAAAAAAAAACCACATAGAGAGGTTTACTCTATTCAATAGTAAAACATGAAACTAATAATTTAAAAAGTGAGTTTCTGACTCAAAACTAGATATTTCTAGAACAGCACAGCGAGTCTAGAAATTTTCCTGGTGCCGCCAGCACAGAGAGTGGAAGCTAACAGGCAGGCTGACTGAGCAAAGGGAAGTGTTTTACTAGAAGGCAAATCTTAGGGGATAAACACCAAACAGTGGAAAAGGAAAGTAGAAGTGCTCTAAGGCATATCTGTTTTTGTGGAAAATTATTTTCCTTCTGATATGGTTTTCCTGCTCAGGCAATTTCTGCCCCTTCAAATTTCTAAGTAAAAAAAAAAGCGGGTACTAGGCTGTGAATTCATTACAGAGAGGGAGACAGCTTGAGAGGTGGATGATCTCTTGACCTGGAAAGACTGGTCATCCATATGACCTCAGGTAAGTCATTTATAAGTATCACTAGCACTTGCTAAGTGATTACTCTGGGCTCCGCACGGTTGCAGGTGCTTTGTATGTATTCATTAATTCAGTCTTTACAAACAATCCTTTGTGGTGGCAGCATCTTATTTTATAAGCTGGGAAAGTGAGGTATACAGGTGTTTAACAGCTGGGTCACACATAAGTGGCAGCACTGGGACTTCAACTGTGCCGTTTGGCTCCAGTGGCCATTAACAGTTCACTACACCATACTACCACTGATCCCTCTGTGTGACAGTTTTCACATATAAAAAGTGAGAGAGTTGGATTACACATTCACTGAGGTTTCTTCCAATTCTGCCAGTAGTACTGTTCTAAGGCAAAACACCTCCAGGATCGGTCCTTAAATTGGTTTCTGATGTGACACCTGAAACCAGACTCATACAAGCCCATTTTGACTCCTGTCTCTGTTCAGGGGCCCATGCTGAGTCAGCCAGGTTGTGGCCAAAACTCTAGG